GCAGCACTGTCTGCGCTAAGGATGGGAATTCCCAAGCTAATGGATTGGATTCGTTAGCAAACACTGCCCCCCTGTGGTACTTGCATGTTACTATCAGAGGTTGCTGAGGACTGCACAGGAACATCGTTGGTTCCAATTATAGCCCCGGCCTGTATTAGCATCCGGCCATTATTTACCCACGCCGACAGCAAAACCGGCCAATATTAGAGACCCGGCTGCTAATGGAATACAGGCCAATATTAGAGGATTTACGGTATTCACATACTTTTATCATATTAAACTGCACTTCCAATATTCACCACTGTTCGGGGCAGAGTACCTTTTTTCTCTGATCATGGAGCAGTTGGCTTGCTTGGTCTCGCACTGAATCACAGGATATCCAAGGCTACTTAGGATGCACTGGAACCGTCTTTCAAATTGGGCAAAAAGATGGATGCATTTGTTGGCCACATAACGAGGAGTCTTGGAATCCGAACAGACCTCGGTGCCATGCTATGACGTAATCGGCCTACAAATCTGGCCTTAGGAGGAAGCAGCCCCTGAATTTGAAATTCAGCCGGAGTTAAGAGGAAAAGAAATGACACTAGGGGGCAAAAAAGAATAACAAGGTGTAACAGTATCTAAATGTAAATAGAAAGAACTTAAATGCTCAAGGGAAAAAAAAAACTGACTATAAAATAAGGAATGACCGAAGGGAAAACTACAAGATAAGAGGGTCTGAAAACAATCTTGACTATGGAAAACATGACCAAAGGATAAATAACTAACTGAAACTAGACCAGGGAACAAACAATGCCAATTATGTAGGAAAAAGAGACAACCAGAAGGAGCAAAACTAAGAGTTAAAAAAAATGATGTTAATCCAGACAACAAGCTTAAAACAAAGCATCCTTGAGAACCCAAAAAGTAAACACTTAAAAGAAACAAAAGCTTCAGAAAGTAAGATCATAACATATTATTTTTTGGAATTGGATATTAATCTCACATTTTAAGAGAGCAAAATTTAGGGTGAACAATATAATAATGCACATGTTTAAGGAATTGTCAAACCTGAAGGTAAACATATGTCACTTAAACAGCAGCAACTGAAACTGTAATTTGAAAGAGGAAGCACAGTCGCTATGATATCTGATAAAACTGATGCTTTCAAGCAGAGCTCCTCACCACATCCATCCCTTTGAACACTGTGTGACCTTCTCTACCGCCGCATTTCTCTCCTCCGCAAATACGCATCCTGGTAATGTATTTATGTTGTGATTGTGATATCATGTCTATGTAAAGAAAATAAACTGTTGGGGAGGAAAAAGTATACAGTCTTAAGCTGAGTTAAACATAGCAGGAAGCGTGAAAACAATATAGATTATGCAAATTAATAAAGTGTAAATGACATTTAGTCTAAATGAAAATGATATGTGTGTGAAAATATAAAATGTTTTTGTTTTTACAGTTAGAATTTCAGAAGTTAGCATTTAGCAAGAAATCATTAACAAAATACCAAGAAGATAAGACATCACCAATGCATGGAAAAAACTAAACAAAAGTATTCCAGTAATCAATCTGGTAATGATGTCATGTTTGGTTTAAGGTGCCTAACCCACATGCAGAACACTCAGAGGAGGGGAGAAAAGTTCAACAGTTTATTGAAGTGTTTGAACACAATAAATGAACAGATCCAGAGGGGAACTCGTCTGGTCACGAGTGGGTTCACTGTTCTGGAGTTGAGCAGAGCGGCTGAGGGGGGGAACCTTGAGGGTCCAGAGGCTGTCGGCAGGCTGAGGGCTAGGCAGAGGCAGAGCTTAATTTGAGTGTTGGCAGATAACTGATCTGAGTTTCCTTCCAGAATCTTCTGAGAGCCGGCAGGCAGGGCTTTGACAGGAATAATTCTCCAGGGTTCTTCTGAGAACGGACAGGCAGATAACTGGCAGAGAAACTCTTCAGGATTTCAGGTTTCAGGCAGGTTCGATCTAGGAAGCAGAGAAGAGAGAACAGATCAGGTTCAGTTTCAGGTTATCTGGGAGTCAGAGGTTCAGACAGGCTGGTTGGCTCAGGCTTGCTAACCGTTACTGGCAAACACTCTGGCACTGGAGAGAAGTCCTCTGCCTCCTTAAATACGGATCACCCGATGAGCAGATGAGCAACAGGCGGTTGCAATCAGCTCCGGCTCCAGGAGATCTCGTACGCCCTCTGGTGGAGAAAGTGGACAGACCTCCAGATCCCAACAAATGATTTTAAACAACATAGAGTCCATATTTCAGGAGGCAAAATACTATATGCAAACAGGGTTCCAAATAAAGTTCAAACAAAGGTTAGCCTGTGAAGCCTTGTCTAAATGCTTGCTGTTTCTGACATTGGTGTGAGAGATCTCTAATTCAAGAAGAAAAACTTACCTCACTATCCAACTTCTCCCACTTATCAATCAGGGTCGCAGTGGCGCCTATATCTAAAAGTCTATGAGCCACAGGCGGGGTACAACCTGGACAGGTCACCAGTTTGTTGCAGGGCACAGAAACATACATACATACACACACAGCTAAGGGCAATTTAGAAATTCCAATAAACCTAACAGTCATGTTTTTGGCTGTAGGAGGAAACCGGAGTACCTGGAGAGAACCAACGCTTCCACAGGAAGAACATGCAAACTGCAGCAGCACCTAGAATTGTATATGGTATGCCATGAAATATAGTATATGCCACTGGAAAAGTGGCATATGCCAGTCAAGTGGCAGCATATGCCAATTGAAAAGTGTCATATGTAAGTTAAGAAGTAGCATATGCCAGTTTAAAAGTGGCACGTGCCACTTTTAAATGCCATATGCCATTTTTACCAAAGGATCTTAATAGGGGCTGAATGTCGCTGTCGCAATCTGGTTTTACTGAAAATATAATTGGCAGTTATGAAAAAGTAATATTCATATATGAGGTTGCAAATGTGTGTTTGTGTTAGAAAAAACATGAAAGGACTTTGGATTACTTCAGTGAGCATATTGCAAATTTACACATAACTAAATAAAATGGATATGCTCTGTCTAACAACAATTATTTTTCTTAATTTCTAATCAAAATGTATGAAAAATGTATATTCACTGCTCTGAGGCTACACACATATGTAAAACAGGGGACGGTAATCAGCTGTTGTTTGCAACCAGACACAAAGAAGTGTACAGACTGTGGCCAGACTAATCCTTAGCAGATCACTCGGGCTCCACTTCATACAATAATACTAATAATATGCTGCCTTTTTTAGAACAGTCAGTAACATTCTCAAAGAAAACACAACTCAAACATTTGCAAAGGTTTGAATGTTTTCTGTTTTCTCTGATGCAGACAATTAACAACCACATGAGCCTTAATTTTTCTTAAATGCAAAATGTAATGCTAATAAAACCAGATTACAAAATTGAGTGCCAATGTAGGACTTCTGGTAAAACAAGTATATGCCATTTCGAAGTGGCATATGCCATTTTTCAAATGGCATTTTTCAATTGGCTTATGCCACTTCTCAACAGGCATATGTCACTTCTCAACTGGTTTATACCAGTTTTTTAAAAGTGACATGCCTGATACTAGTACTTTTGACTTTCACTGTCACATCCATGCAGAAAGACCCTATTCGAGAATAAAACCCTGGATCTTCTTGCTGCAAGGCAACAATGTAGGACTTATTTTTATTTTGCATACTGCTCCACCGTGCAGCACATCAGCAGATCATTCCAAATAACTAAAACCAGTTCCTCTCTTCAATTTTTAGGTCAGTGGAGATGGATCCAAAAGTGTTTCCTTATCAGAAGAAAATTGAGTCCATCCAATGTACTCTAAGTATGTTTTGGGGTCTCCTCCCAGTTGGGACATGCCTAGAAAAACCTTCTATTGGATACATTAAGAGGGAATCCTGTTTGGAGATTAAATCAGTTTAAGACAATCAAAAATAACTGGATAATCTTAATGTCATAAGAAGACTATAGATGGCATATATCTCCTGGAATAAGGAGACTTGTTGAAAGCTAGATCATTAATTAGGTAGACCTTCGCTCAACTTTGCAGTAACAACTAATGTATTATGAGAACAGCAATGATCTTAGAAATGATTAAAGAGGTCAAAGTACAAGTGTGCGTTTACAGAGTAGCAATGAAGAAATTTCCCTTGTACTGTCCCAGCATGCAGAACTGGGTGGTGGAGTGCAAAAGTGGCATGTGTTACTGTGCATGACAAAGCTCCATAGAGCTTGAGGTCACATGGGCACAAAAGAGGGGTAAGGGTGTAGCAGAAGTGAACCAAATAATTGAGAAGACCAGACTTTCTCTAGCCTTTGCACTTAACCCACGCAATCCATGATGATTGGGTTTTCTCATTTATGCAGAGCCATTGGACAAAAGATAGGAACTAGCTTCATTTGTAGCAAAACATTAAATCAAATTTCTTGTGCAGTTGAATTTATAGAGAGTAAGATCAGCAGTATCAGTGGTATTATTGTTACAGGTTAATTTTTTTTTGATAGATACTCATTATTTTTATGAGAAACCCCTGTTGGTCTTGGTAGAAATAGTTTTACAATAAACCTAGATTTTATTGCACTGGCTATGAAATGCTTTAAGATGACATGTTGTAAAATGGTGTCATTTGAATACAATGCTTATTTATATCATCAGTTAATTCCAGAGATTAAATAAAAAGTTTTGTACTTTCTGAGTTATGGAGGGCTACTTTTTAACTATATCTTCAAACTAAACAGAGCACAAAGACTTTATCTATGTTTAACATCATAAGCCTTAAAGTCATTACAATATTTTCAAAATCTTTCTTCCATCAAGAGCGCTTAATTGTTTTGCAAATCAAACTTGGTTAATCTATATTTTTATTACACAAACATTAGACTTCTCTTACAGCAGGTATTATGCCTGGAAGACTCAATTACCATCTTCTGTGGAAACAGACAAAGCTTGAAGGGCATGACAAGAGGAAGAGGTGGGATTTTAAAACTCCATGCATACATTTATACAGTTGCTTTAGGACTTGCTCAATTTAGAAGCTGAACTCAAAGCCTCATCACCACTTGCATTAAATGAACTTGGCTAGTCCCCTGATCTCTGTAAGTACTATATATTGATTTTATTCTAATACATAGTTTTGATTGTGATTGTGTCACTGTAAAGATAATTAATTGTGTGATTATTTATTTTATAATGTCAGGCTGAAATGGCTGCAGCAAACTTTACTTTGGATTCCACTGGAGCCCCTCTAAACGAGAGCAGCTGCGATGTGTTTGTCTACCAGAGGGCTGCATCAGTCATCTACCCTATTTTCTACTCAGTAGTTTTTGTCATCAGTGTTTGTGGGAACTGCCTGGTTCTCTGTGTCATCTGCCAACGGAAGCAGAAGTTTAACTCCACGTCAATCTATTTGGTGAATCTTGCGCTATCTGACGCACTGTTCACACTGGCCCTGCCAGGTAGAATTACTTATTACATTCGTCAGTTCGACTGGCCTTTTGGTGATCTCTTCTGCCGACTCACCACACTTCTGTTTTTTACAAATACATATGCAGGTAATATGAAGTTTTACACACCTTTATATCAGCAGCAATAACCTTCTCATTTAAACATATGAATGGCTGATTGACGATTGTCAAAAGAAATTTCTGTAAGTGATTGTTTTTATTTACATGCAAATCCTACATTTCAACAGGCATTGGCTTCATGACCTGCATCAGCTTGGACAGATATCTTGCCATGGTGCATCCTCATCGACAGCAGTGCTTACGTAGTGCTAAAGTTGTACGCAGGGTCTGCTGCCTGGTCTGGTTCCTAATTTCCCTGGAGGTCTCGCCACTGTTATTTCGCAGCACGCTGCATGTGAGAGAAGATAAGCGAACCTGTATGGAGTATTTGAACTTTGACGGTTCCCGCTTCACCCCTTACCTTTTAATTCTGGCATGCTTCATCTCTTTCTTCTGCCCTCTCACGATAATAATGGCCTGCTACGCAAGGATCAACCTGAAACTCAGAGATGCAGCCAAGAAGAACTCTGTGACTGGCCGAACAAGCCGAAACCATAGGGCCAACACAATCATTCTCCTCATTCTTCTTACCTTTGTCCTCTGCTTCAGCCCCTACCACCTTAACATAATGCAGTTTATGTTCAGAAAGATCAACCATAAGCCCACTTGTGAAGAACTAAGAGACTTTAAGATGTCCTTGCAGGTAAGAGTTGTGTCTTCTGTTGAAGTAACATGTTAATAACCTTTTTTTTTATTCTGTAATTGATTATCATGCCCCAATTTACAGATTACGGTCTCATTGATGAATGTTAACTGCTGCCTGGATCCAGTCATCTACTTCTTTGCCATAAAGACATACAAGAAGAGAGTGATGAGCCTGTTTAAGGACTATCTGTACACTTCCGCTGCCTCCTCCAAAGTGACAGCTGAGAATAGCAGCAGCAACACCTGATCCAAACCACAGAGAAGACGTAGTTTGACAAGTTAAAGAAAACATGTTTTCCTCTTGATGAGCCTGTTTCTTAAAAAGACTTGTGAGTCTTTGGTGGTGGACTTTATTATGTTTAGGCAATAATGGTTTCAGCTTATCTGCATTTGCCTCACCAAAGATTATGAGGAGTTTTAGTACGTTGTGATCAAAGATATTGTAAAGATATTTTTTCAGCTCAAGTTGCATATATATGTATTTTCTTGTTGCTACTTTCTACCTTGGTATATTATGATGAATACAAAAGTAATATTGTAATCATAGTGAAAATATGTAAAAATGTTAGTTTACTGTGTTTGTGTGTTGAAACAGTTGTGCAGAGGGAATTTAATGCAATTTCCTGCAAACATAAATACAGTAATGGGATTTTTTTTTTCATATAGTAGCAGTATTTTTGGTGACTTATTCTCTAAAAAAATAACAGAGAAAAAATTCCCAAATGTGAGATGTGTTAAAATCAGGAACAATGTGCATTTCAACTCCCACACAATGGCAAATCTAACAATATGTGTTAAATTTGCCAAATTGAGAACATGTTACATTTTCTCTTTGCCACCCACATTTATCTTCTGCGTAGGAGTACAGAGAATCAAATCACCACTTCCTCACCCACCTTTCCTGCTCCCCCTTCATGGGCCTCAATCCTGCTGCCTTCCAAATCTTGTGGTAAGGCTTTGGGGTGTATGTGGGTCTAACAAATGTGCACAGGTGTAGTATTTCTTTTAATCTAGTCCCCATGTTTAAATTTAACTTTTAACACTTCCTGACTTTTTAGAAAAGCAGCCCAATCGGTCTCTATAAAACCATGTGCAGAAATTGTGAAATATGCAAAGATTGAAGTAGTTATTGTGCAATTGAGTCATATGAAAAAAAAGAATGAGATGTACAGATATGTTTTGAGTCTATATATGATACATTCACAACTGGTGAATATATTATGTAATACCAATACATTAGTGTTTTGTAGAAAAATTTCTAAATTTGTGCAGATCAATCCAAACAAAAGTTCTGGCTGTTTTTTATTCATTATTACCTATTTTACCCAGTAATTATTTTAAACAGCTTTCTCATACTGCAAAACATGATAAATTATCAGCACAAGGGCAATGCATTAGACAAAAATGATAATATAATTTCTCACAGAAGCTGACGGATCATTCCAAACAATTAGGAATTGAAACAGGTACTAACAAAATGGCAACATTATTTTTCTTCATATGTACTGAGAGATGAAGACTGAACTGCATCATTTCAGTAGCAGTATGTAAAATACAAAACTGGTTCAATACAGTTCCTTGAAGATGATCCATCTAAGTAATGTAGTATTACATTAAACAACCCTTCAAAGCTACAGTTTATTCTCAGAAAAATATCTGAAAAAAGTTTCCACCATTTATGGAGTTAAACACTTTTCTCCTGTTGGTGGAATTATTTAAAAATGTAAATGGGGTACTGTCATAGCTCATGCCCTACTTGACACACATTCAGTTCATCTAAACAATTTGACAGAGTTTGTTTGGAGATTTTTTTAGCCTGACTTCAGTAAGCAAAGTCAGAATTTCTGATGATTACACTGCCATGCAACAATATCTGTAGTCATTGAAGCAACAAAAGAATGTGTTGGTACAATGACAGGATGAAGAGAGATTCTGGTCACATGTAAATACATTTTGGACCATGGAAAAAAACATTGATAAAACAATATTCGTAAAGAAAAAACATCCATAAGCAGGCACAGGTTATTACAGTGAGACAACAGACAATCTTTTTACAATTAAACCAAATAAAAAGTGACTTAACTCAAATATTATAGCATGCTTAAAAAAAAAACATGTGTCAAAAGATCCTGGAAAGAGACATATGGGGGATTTTTATCTCTCTTGAATTTCATAAAACATAACCTAACATAAGGCTTTGTTATGTTCTATTTTCTTTGACTTATGTTTGTCTAAATATTATTTCATGTATTTGTTTGAAAAACCTATAAATATTAAAGCTAATTCCATGGCTTTGAACCTCATCTTTCTTTTCTTAGAGTACTAGTAGTCAATGTGGTACTCCACAGGTAACCCTGGAGCATGAGGAAGATTGATCATCAATGTGAACAAACTGAAATTGGTCAGATAGATATGATTTAAACCAGTCTAGTTCTCGTCCATTAATTTTTTACAAAATATTCAAGTCTTTCTAAAAGAATATTTTGATCAACTGTGTCATATGCAGCACTGAGAGCTAACAGGACAAGTACAGACGGTCCATAATCTGAGACCATGAGAATATCATTAGTGACTTTCAACAGAGCTGTTTCAGTGATATGATGAGCCCTAAAGCCAGAGTGAAACTCTTCAAAAAGTTATGATGGTGTAAGAGGTTGCACACTTCTTAAATAAATATTTTCTCAACAATTTTAAATAAGAAATGAAGATATGATATAGGTCTATAATTGACAAAATCCTCTGGGTCAAGGGACTACCTACCCCATCAACAATATCATCAAGCTTTGAAGGGGAAGAAACTAAACTTTTGCTATCTGCAGCACTGCTCAGTGACACAAAGAAGAGAGAAAGTGAACCAAATTCCTTAAAACTTATAACCACACTATCTGATAATGATATGCTAAAGTGAAACCTTCTTTTGAGAGAGGAGATCTCTTTTAAAGTATTCCTGAAGGTTATTAAAAAGTGGTCAGAGATGACAGAGTTGTGAGGAAATACTGTTATTTCTTCACATTCTGTGCCATATGTCAGCCCAAGGTCTGAAGTATGAAGATGAGAATGTGTGGGACTATTTACATTGTGAACAAAGCCAATAGCATCTACGATAGCAATAAATGCTGCACTTAAGCTATCACCTTCAATGTCAGCATGCATGTTAAAATCCCCCACTATGATGACCCTGTCAGTATTCAACACCAAATCAGATAGGAACTCTGAAAACTCATTTAAAATTTCCGAGCAATACCTGGTGGATGATACAAAGTAACAAAGAGAGTTTTTTTGGCTTTGCAATTTGGTTGAGGGAAACTAAGGGTCAAATGTTTAAAAGAGCTGTAATTATCAACTGCTTTTGGAGTAATCAGTAAGTTAGACTGAATACTTGTTGCTACTCCTCCTCCTCGCCCAGAATTTCTGGGTATGTGAAAATTTAAATAACCAGAAGGAGTTGCCTCATTTATGCACACATAATCCTCTTGCTGCAGCCAAGTTTCTGTAAGGCAACATAAGTCAAGATGACTATCACAAATCAAGTCATTAACTAGCAGACTTTTTGAAGAAAGAGATCTTATGTTAAACTAACCACATTTAATTGTATTAACCTGTTCACCAATTGGAGTTATTTTAATGTCAATTAGATTATCATGATTTACTCCTTTGGGATTCTTTTCTAATTTATTTGATTTTGGTCATGGGCAAGACATTGTCAGGATGGACTAATGAGTGGGTAATAATAGAGAAAATGCAGAGAAGTATGCTAAACTACGACTCTTTTTCCTGGTCTGCACTTCCTGGTCTGAGGACTAATACATTTGGACAGGTTCCTAGAAAGAAGGGCTGTGCCATCCAAAGTAAGATGGGTGCCGTTTCTCCAAATCAGACCAGGCTTTCCCAAAAATGATAGCCAATTATTAATGTAGCCCACATTGTTTTCAAGACACCACATAGAAAACCAGCGGTCATCACTGGTCAGATCGGGGATGGGACAAGAGAAAATTTAATGGAATCCGACGTTGTTTTGGCAAACTTGAACACCAAAGCAAGTCTAATCTTAGTGACCTCCGATCGGCGTAACCGGGTGTCATTACCACCAGCGTGAATTCAGCAGATCAAATAGCGACTAAATCAAATGTAGAATTTATTTGATAGAATCTGTTTCCTTTATCTCCTTTATCGTAGAACAATATTGTAGGGGCCAGCAATTTAATGCATCCCCTTAATAAATTGATGATTTTGTTGATGGGGTTAGTTACTTGCTCAGCGATGTGTAGCCTGACTGAAAAAGGAGGAATTTATTGATAGGAAGCTTACTTCCTGGTTTAATTTAGTTTGGTATACTTTAAATACACTATAAAACTGGCTCTCTACACATTTTGAGCAATCTTTTCTAATCTGGAAAACAACATTCTTCTGTTGTACAAAATGGCTCTTTGTAAAACAAGAGCAGTGCATGTATCTTCAGTAATAGAGAATTCAAATAATTCTACATTTCCTATAGTACCGTTGCCAAATTCACACAGTGCCATAGCTCTGTTAAGCTGTATTCCCCTAGCTTTTAGCAGCAACTTAATGGGATTATTTTAAATAAAACTGACTATATTAAGAATAGGGTCAGCACAATTAATACATCTTAAGAAAAGTGTAATGACCAGAAAACATAAAACCCAGAATTGAACAGAAAAACGACAGATGTTTATTGGAATGTGACTCCCGCAGGTTGGTAAGGATTCACCAGTTTCAGCAACCAGAACTTCTGGAAGGAGATTGGACAGTTGCATGAACAGACAGAAACAGAGGGGAATGGTTCTAGTGTGGAATTCTGGCTCACTAACCTTCTTGTGTTTGAGGACAAACTGAGTTTCTAAAGATGCTGTTTGGCGTTACCTCATTGCTGAACCTCAGGGGATTCCAGAGTCTGTCCAGGCCATTTTAGATGAATCCTTTGACAATTAATTGTTGGTCAAAGGGAAATTACAGGATAAGATCCATGAGAGCAGAGACAAGCAGAATGATCAAGTGGAAAAACAAGAGTACAGAA